ACGTGTATAGGAACCAGTTTCCCTTGTAAAGTCCTCAGTGATAACATCCTTCCCTTAGGTAGATAGCCCTCGAGTGTTTAATCAAATCCAGCCCCCTTTATTGAGCCATCTCCATTCATTTCTAATTATTGACAGTGCGCGCTACCTGTTGACTGTTTGGTGTACTTCATGAAGCTTGAAAACCACCATCTTGATTGGCAGTTGATCCACGCTCAAACAAAGTTGCATTACAAGAAGGTAAGATTTTTGCACTTTTCTTCTAATTTAAGAATATAAAGAAACTGCAGATATCGTTGAGACGTTAATAGTGTTTTAGTTGTTACTGTTTTAGTTGTAACGTTGACTAAAGCTGTGTTCAGTCAGCGTTATGCCTCTGTATTAATAATGGTTGTTTGCTTCACATTATAACCGAAATCACGAATATATTGCATGCCAGTTGTTAATTGCCTTCAATGAGCCAGCCTGGTTTGCTATGAATGGGCTGGTAACCCAACCATGGAAACAATATCAAGGCTAATATTTTGTAACTTTTTCAGTTCAAGAATAAATTGTCACTATATCTGATTTAGTAAAAAGATATCGAGAGTAGTTAAATGGGTAATTAGATTATGATCTCATTTTCTTTGTTATAAAAATACTTACAAGCTAATTTTAATCTAAACCGCAATATCCCTAATTCGCATGTAAAATGAATATTTTATTGAAATTATTGTGATTATTTTCATTACTTCTTGCGTCATTTATGCCGATTTCTAGTTTCAAAATTGTATCTACACAATCAATAGAGTAAGTTACGTGCATAGTGTAGGAATTAAGTCAGAAAATTGGCAAGTTCAATGGCAGAGTAGTGTAATTGTTACTGTTGTTCTCACCAAGAACTTTCAACAATGCACACTTGTTACAGACTTTCAAACAGTTTAGTCAACAGAAGCCAGGCATTAAATTTATGATATACGATGCATATTTTTGCGATATAATAGTAGCTTTGTACTTTTCTGTCGTATATCTCAGATTTGTATGTTAACCTTATAAAATCGAGACCACCGCTGTGAAAAGACTGCTTCAAACTTCTGGACCGGAGAATAAGGTAAAGGTTAAGCTTTCATTGCTTTCAGTGAATAGGCCTATTTATTCCAACGAGGATTCATGGTTCAGGGCTATATGTTGTGATGATTTCAAAGAAAACATTATTCAATGTCTTTCGTTTAAAATGTGTTAATGAGAAGTGTGAAGCAGAAAGGGGATCAAAATGTATTATTGGGAAAATGCAACTGAGTGCATCAAGAACAAATAGCTGAATGTGTAAGATTTATAGTCTAATATCAATAATAGACTTGAAAATTATTTTATGTCATTTGAAAGTTTTCAGGTTATGATTATTGTTCTTTTTATAACAGCCTAACTATAAATTACCCTCAAATTCTCATTTTTATTAAATTGTTTAATATATGAAATTCAATGCTACTTGGTAGATTTTTACATTAGGCCTATTTGATGATTATAAAGATTAAACTAAAAATCCAACTCCTGATTCCTTGTGAATAATGCGAAGCTATCAGTATGCTTCAATGTATTTTCAGTGGTCTGTGTTAGATTCAACCCAGCATTTTATATATGTGAATCATGCTTAAAATAGATTTAAGTATTTTATTGTATTAAAATGATACTGTATTAAAAATAGCTATTGGTTCCATTCATAGAAACTGCCCGGCTCAATGAAGGCCACCAGTTTCCATCATTGGGCCAGTGTAAGCTATTTTTACAATATTTACTGAATATTTCGTAATTACAGCGATTATTCCTAGATTTGTGTAGTATGGAAAGTGATAGCTACATTAACATGTACAAAAATGTAAAATCGTTAAATTGGATCATTTTGTAAAAGTGGCTCATCCATAGCAACCATCCCTTAAGTTTGCGCCGAAGACTTATCAATCCATTTGATACGCGTATCCAAAGATATGCAAGTGTTTCAAATGCACTGAAAGAGTTTCATTGCAGGATAAAAGAAAAATTGTTTGAGTATTAAGAAACGTAAACATATTTTTTGCCCACACTTTACAGTAACATCAGAACAAGCCCACGAAATTCATCGTGGCAAGGGGAGTAAGATTGTGCTCGTCGTTGGCAAGAGCTTTGAGCATCATATGGGTAACAGTACGATTTCGCGTAGTTCTCCCCCCCCAGTTTTGATGGAGAGCACACTGGGGGGGTCCCAGGGTCTCCCCCCTCTTCCTCGAGAGAACATTCGGTTCGCCATATATTTAGAGTGCACCCATGCCGCAAACTATACATTTACAAACACCCATGCCTTTCGGGATTCTAGCCTGGGCCTTGCGGTAAACATCCTTATGCATTAAAATCCTTTAAACGTTATAACTTACATTTGAAGCGAATAGATCATTACTACGTGTTGTCTGACTTTGTTATTTTAATATTAACTGATTAATATTAAAGTGATTAATATTGACTAAATTTTGATGTTTTAATCTACAGGTTTTAATGTTTGTCTTGAGCTAAGCACGCCATCGGATGGTATTTGTTTATTAACGTGGCTTTAGCCCGAGTTTTGCAATTTTACCCGAATAATTGCTTAGCCTTATTTAATAAATATTATTTAATTTTATAAGCTTTTCTAAGAAAATACAGAAAAAAAGCTATTTTTGTGGCGATCAGTAGGATATAACGTATTTTAAAGGGTCATTGAAAGCAGGAATTTAAAATATAAATCACAACCGACTCTCTCTACTTAGGAAAAAAAAATAAGATACCCAGATCTCTAAAATGAGTTCCAAAACGAATTATTTATTATTATTGATTGCTTAATAATGATTGTTTTAACGATTATTATTCTTCTCCCCCCTAGTGTCTATAATAAATGGCCTTCTGAAAGCGAAAATTATTGATATTGAACCTGAAAATTGTAATTAAATATTATTTTACAAAATGGTCAACTAAACAGGCATGAAGAAAACTGATTGTTTGTGTCTTGTATTCGTAACTATGACGTACCTGTTTGACTGATTTCTTATTCCCCTAATTCATAAATCTGTCCGGCCCACCAGCGGCCGAGCGGTAAAGTCGCTGAACACTGGTAGTTCGGTCCGAGGTTTGAATTCCGAGAACGGGCTGGCTGCATGGGTGTTTTCGTGGTTCACCCATGCAAGTCCTCCACAAAGGCATCCCTCCCCTTAGACAGATAGCCCTTGAGGCTTTGCCGTAATTAAATAACCTAACCTAACCTTGTATTTTCAAGGCCCATCAACAGCCAAGCGGCAAAGTCGTTGAACACCGGGAGTTCGACCCCGGGGTCGAACTCCGGCGAACGGGCTGGCTGCACCGGCGTTTTCGCGGTTTTCTCCATGTGTGACGCGCATATGAGCCAGTTTCCCTTAGAAACGCGGCCCACCAGCAGCCGAGCGGTAAAGTCGCTGAACACTGGTAGTTCGGTCCGAGGTTCGAATCCCGCGAACGGGCTGGCTGCATGGGCGTTTTCGTGGTTTTCCCCATGCGTAACGTGTATACGAGCCAGTTTCCCTTAGAAAGTCCTCCACGAAGGCAACCCTGCTCTTAGGCAGATAGCCCTCGAGGCTTTGCCATATTCACACACACACACACACACACACACCCTTAGAAACGTGCCCTCTAGTGTTTTGCCGTAATTAAATGAACAGAAACCCAAACCCTGTAGTTTCATGATGTCTTGCGAATTTACACTGCTGGTCTTATGAATTATTTGGAGAGAATAATTCTGGTTCAATGGTTCCTTATAGATAAAAAAGGGACAAATGTAGTTCGGTATAGCCTTTGGTTGTTAGAATCGTAACTGAAGAATGAATTATAAAAGTGTAGTTAAATTCCGCTTTTAGTTCTACAAAACCTCCAAATTCTGGCTTATGAATCCCGCATGAAATGAAAGAACAAATGTTTATTTCATTAATCTTCAACTGATGGCAATATTGAACAATTTAATTAAAAAGTCTGAATGCATAAGTAGAAATATTTTTTAGAAATAAAATAAATTTTTAGAAGCAAGAATGAAATTAATATTGTTAGCGAATTCTTTGTTTGGTATAATTGAAACAGTGTAGCTGGTAAACTCAGATAAATATGTGTTTCATTCTGAAACTTCTTACAACATATGCCATGCCTAAAAGTTTCAAATGATAACATGTTACAGCAGTTATATATAAGTGTTTACAACAGTAATTAATTTTAGTAGTTAATTAATTTTACTGTTTCTGAAATCTTCAACTTTGGTTTTCATACTCAAGAACAGCAGTGTTTTTTTAATACTGAAGAGTTGTTTTTCTTTCCAACTTCTCAACGTGGCGGGGGTGTGTCACTGGACGGAACGGGCGAAGTACGTCAGGAGCATAGCTCCTGGTAGGGCAACCCTAGGCGTGAAGGCCGTTCCAACATGCCCAGCTAAAGCATAGCAGGTGAAGAACCCTCAGGGGATTGCCGTCTTGCTGATCGGGTGTCACACTCCCGGGGCCCCAGTGACCTTTCCTCCTCTTTCTTTCCTCTTCTCTTGTCTAGCTCTCTCTCCTATTTCTCTCCCTTTTGGTTTCCTCTACTGGAGGTTGGGGCTCACTGTGAGATGCAGCTACTACTCTGGTTTCTGTTTCACCATGGTGAGAATACCGCCTATGCGTTTGCCGTGCATGGTGACCCGTAGGGTGGAAAAGGAGGATCCTGGCAGTTGAGGGGCGAGGTACTGTCCCCAACACACTGCTTTGGCCTCTGCTTCTACTTAAAACGGGAGGCACTTAGCTGTCCCCGCTAGTGTCAATCGGCTGGTCCACTAGTCCTATTGGTCAGTGGCTAGGGGATAAGCTAAGCTCTCGGAAGTCTCCGCTTTTGGGAAAGCCGACTGTGGGGCTTCAGTTTGCGTATAGGCCCGGCTAGCCCTAACACAGGGATCTGTGTTCCCTTGTTGGGCTCCATGGTGGGTGGGGCGGTCGGGCCCGAAAACTTTAACTTCTTCTCCTAACCATATGGATACGAAAAATTCTGGAGCTGCTAAAAGAAAAAGAATTTGTACTTCGACCTTAATTAGCACAAACAAATGTCCAAAGTTCTTAGTTATTACTGGTCAGCTAGAAAATCTATCACCATTCTTCATCCATAAGCATATTGTGGCCTCAGCAGGCGAGCCAAAACACATAAAAAAGCTCCGTTCAGGATCTCTGCTCATCGAGACTACATCTGATGCACAATCTTCCTCTCTCCTAAAAATGACCAAAATGGGGGAACATTCTATTACTGTATCCCCACATAAGTCTTTGAACACGTCAAGAGGTGTCATTTCGGAAATAGACTTGATATCAGTCTCTGAGGATGAACTTTCAAAAGAACTCGCCGAGCAAAATGTATGTGGGGTCCGCCGAATAAAAGTCCGTAGAGACGGGCAACTCGTCAACACAAAACATCTTATTCTGACTTTTTCATCTCCAGAGCTACCGAAAGCCATTAAGGCAGGTTACCTGAATTGCCCCATCAGACCTTACGTGCCGAACCCACTGCGCTGCTTCAAGTGTCAACGGTTTGGCCATGCGAAGGCCGCATGCCGGGGAAACCTGGCATGTGCTCGCTGTTCTGCAGGTGGTCACGAAAGTCAGGATTGTGTAGCTGATCCAAAATGTGCAAACTGTCATGCCGATCATCCAGCATACTCACGAAACTGCCCTAAGTGGAAAGAAGAGAAAGAAATACAGCATATTAAGACTACAAGAAAAATCTCCTATCCTGAAGCTAAGAAACTTTTTAGCACGGGTCAGTCAAAAGCAAATGTCTCCTATGCACAAGCCACTAAATCATATCGGTCAATAAGTACACAAACATCGCATAGCACACAGAGAGAAGATACCTGAACCAAAAAAAAAATGACAAAGAAAAAGTCTTTCTTCTACCTCCTCCCAAACAGACAATAGAAAGTCGAGAAAAAATAAAAACACAAGAAACAGAGAGTTCAAAAAAGAAAATCAAAAGCTCAGAAAAGAGAAGCTCAAGCCGAAGCTCTATTGAAGGGACCTTTTTTTCAGACTTTATCGAATCTGAGATGGAAACAGATGGAGGCAGAGATCTCTCGAAAAATGTTCTACCTCACAAAACAAAGAAACAGCATCGAAGCAATAAACATTCCTAATGGCTACTCTCATTTCGTGGAACTGCCAGGGCTTCTATCAGGGTATTGATGGCATTAAGCAACTTAATCGACCCTGGACATTAATAAATATCGACCTATTTGTATAGCGATACAAGAGACATTCCTCAAACCTGGTAATTTTGCAAAGCTACGTAGATACTTGATGATAAGAAAGGATAAGACATTCAGTTGAACGCGCAAGTGGTGGTGTCTGTCTACTTACCTCAATTAATTGTTGAGCATTCGAACACTGACTACTGTTTGCAGTATTTACATCCCGCCTAATGAGAACATTAATTTAAGAGATTTAGAGGACCTAATTGCCCAACTACCAGCTCCGATTATTCTAGTCGGTGATTTCAATGGACACAATCCCTTGTGGGGTAGTAAAGACACAAACCCACGAGCATCTACAAAATTGAACATTGAAGCAAATTGAACATCTACTTCACGAGCACTGTCTCTGTATCCTCAACAACACAGAAAGCACTTATTTTCATCAGCCAACAAGGACCTTCCATTCCATTGACCTTGCTATTGTTTCTCCACAGCTGTTGCCATTTTGTTTCTTTAATGTCGAGAATTATCTATATAACAGCGATCATTTTCCTATTATCATAAGCATTACAGGAAATAGGAGTGTGTTTATACCTAGAACACCACGCTTTTTGTTGGACAAAGCCGACTGGGACTCTTTCTTACATTATGCTCTTTTACTGAAGAAATAGTAAAGAATGTGCACATTGATCAGGCTGTGAAGATCATTACAGATAAAATTATTCAAGCAGCTGATATATGTATACCAAAAACGTCGGTAAAAAAACAGCCAAAATACCCAAAGCCCTGGTGGAATCCTGAATGCCAGGACGCCATCAGAAAACAAAGGAAAGCTTGGAGCATTTTTCGGCGATATCCTTCAGAATCAAATCTCGTAATATTCAAAAGGGCTAAAGCAAAAGCTCGGCAGGTGCGAAGGAAAAGTCAGAAGAATTCTTGGATCTCGTATGTGTCTTCGATTAGCTCTTCAACTTCGAGTAAGAAGGTGTGGGAGAGAGAGAGTCCGGAAAGCGTCCGGTATCTACAAAGAGCACACACTTTCCATTTTAAAGACAAGTGGTGAAACAGTTACTAGTAGGGAAGGAAATTGCCAACGCTATTGGACAGAGTTTCTCAGCCGTCTCACACAGTAGTAACTACCCTCTTGAATTTCTTTCCGCAAAAAAATGCATTGAAAAGCAATTAATTAATTTCAAATCTCCCAATACTGAACCATATAATCAGGATTTTACTGTGCTTGAACTGAAAAGAGCTCTGGTGCAGACAAAAAAATTCATGTCCTGGTCCAGATGATATTGCCTATCCTATGCTGAAACATCTTCCTTCCAAGTCATTGCAGCCATCCTCTTTCTCTTTAATAGAGTATGGAAGGAACAAGTCTTTCCAAATGCCTGGAAAACAGCTTTTGTCATCCCCATTGTTAAACCGGGAAAAGACCCTACTAATCCGTCAAATTACCGCCCCATCGCTCTAACTAGCTGCCTCTGCAAACTCTTTGAAAAGATGGTCAACACTCGTCTGGTTTATTATTTAGAGACAAATAACTGTATCTCCCCTTATCAGAACGGTTTTAGAAAAGGAAGAGCAACTATCAATAATATCCTACTCTTAGAAACAGGTATCCGTAGAGCGTTCGTTAGAAGAAATCATTATGTTTCCATTTTCTTTGATATAGAGAAAGCCTATGATACCACCTGGAGATACGGTATCCTTCGTGACCTATATAGCAATGGTTTACGAGGAAAACATGCCGATATTCATCAAACATTTCCTACAGGATCGGAAGTTTCATGTGAAGATAGGCGATACACTTTCTGACATGTTCCATCAAGAAGAGGGCGTTCCGCAAGGAAGTGTATTAAGTGTTACATTATTTAGTATAAAAATTAACTCTATTTTAAAACAACTGCCTCCAGCAGTCCAGGGTATGCTCTATGTCGATGACCTGCAAGTCAGTTGCCAGGGAGAAGACCTGAAAGACATCGAGTGTAAACTTGCAGACATCTCTCAATAGAATTGTTAAATGGTCGCAGGAAAATGGTTTTAGATTCTCTACTCAAAAGACTGTGTGTGTACATTTCTGTCGAAAGAAAATTCCTTCACCCTGACCCCGAACTTTATCTGCAAGATGTGCTGATTCCTGTAGAAAAGGAAATAAAATTCCTAGGAATGATATTTGACCATAAGCTTACGTTCCTCCCCCATATTACCTATCTAAAAAAGAAATGTTTAAAAACTATGAATATTCTGAAAGTACTGTCAAATACTTCTTGGGGTGCTGATCGAAGCTCAATGCTTCTTATATATAGAGCTCTCATTCGTTCGAAACTAGATTATGGATCAATCATTTATGGGTCGGCAAGGCCTTCAGTATTAGCCAAACTTGATCCGATACATCACCAAGCACTTCGGATATGCACTGGTGCCTTTAGAACTTCTCCAGTGGAAAGCATATGTGGAAAGTAAAGTAACGAGACCTCCCTACTGCGGTTAAGACGTGAAAATCTTTGTTTTAAGCATTATTTCAAAGTCTTATCACAAACCGAAAATTCTACGCGGTCAAAATTGCTTAATGACCAATACTCCCGTTTATATCAGGCACGACCATCATGTGTCCCATCTTTCGGCTTGCGGATGAGTGCTTTGGTGGAGGAGTATAATTTGTCTAATATAGATATACAGGTGGAGGATTTTTTTGGAATTCCTCCCTGGGAGGATTGGAGAATCCATTCTCTGGATACTTTTCGACACTGGAATAAATCACAAACTAACGAAATCATCTACAAGCAGATTTTTTTTGAACATAGAAACAAATATAGGAAATATATCCCTCTATATACAGACGGATCAAAATCCCAGGATCATGTTGGTGCTGCTTTCGTCACAGAGAAAACAATAGTGGGGGTTCGATTAGATACATACAGTTTGCTCTGTGCTTACTTCTGAGCTTACTGCAATCCATCTGGCTTTGACTTACCTTTCAAAACAAAAGTACATAAAGTTTATTATATTATCTACACAGATTCCATGAGTGCCTTAATGTCATTGGAAAATCACGCACAATGTACTCACCCAGTTGCAACCAGAAACCTGATTGAATCATTCTTTAAAAATTCGGGGTACCAGATTCTTTATTCGTGGATCCCTGGACACGTTGCCATTAAGGGGAATGAAATGGCGGATATTGCAGCTAAAACTGCAACCACAATGTACAATCTTCAGATTCCACTAGCAGACATCAAAGGGTTTGTCAAAAGCAAAATTCTCAGCAAATGGCAGAAGCAATAAGATGACAAAGTATATAACAAGCTGAGGATGTTAAACCCACCATTGGATACTGGCCGTGTATGGCTAATAGAAGAGAGGATGTTCTCTTGACTCGACTGAGGATTGGCCATTGTCGCCTGACCCATGAGTATCTTCTGAAGGGAGAAGAGAATCCCAGCTGCCCAAACTGCAATGCAGATCTGACAGTCTATCACATCTTGGTGGAATGCCAGAGTTTTAATTATTTTCGCCAAAAACATTTTAATTGTTCAGAACTGGACTTAGGAAATTTAATTGGAAAAACACATCATCGTAATTTGTTTCTGTTTTTAAAAGATATTGGCTTTTATAATAGACTTTAACCTGTTTTTTAAAAGATATCAGCTTTTATCATAGACTGTAATCTGTCTCTTTTTTAGCTAAGCTAGAAGTTTTTACAAATAACTAATTGCATTGTTACCATTTGTCTGGCGCAGATAAGCTTGACAGGTTTTGTGCCAAATTACAATAATCCAATACCATCGATCTTTCAAACTTGCATTATTTGGTACTTTTCCGTTTCGCCGGCGCAAATCTCGCCAAGCAGACTTTGTTGGCAACAGCCCACAGTATACACATAATGTTAACAAATGTTAGTTCTAAGAATTTTTCTTTTGAAGGCATAAATATTTTATTATCGTTTAAAATTTTGTAAAAAGACAATAAATTTGTAAAAAGATATTAATTTAAGAATTTACTATGCTTTAATGTACAACATCTTAATTCGCCGGTTCATATTATGTGACCCCAATCTCAAGTAAACTACGCTACAAAAATATAATTCTCTCAGTAATTATCTACATTAATTTCAAGTTAAATATTAATATGGAATACAACTTTAAATGCAAGAATTATTTCAATTCGTACGAATAGTTTACTCAGAAATTACGTAAAATCGCAATGCTTTACTTCGCTAGTGCATTCGCATTATAATTGATGAATTTAACCCTAGATTTTGTCGTTTCTATATTTTAGCCTTTGGGTGAGCTGCGTGATTGCATCCTGATTGACGTAATTACAGCGAATGGCCTTAGGGCATAAAAGTGTATTATCTAGTAAAAATTCTAGGTAATTGTACACCAGTATTGAAAGAAACAATCAATCTGATAAGAAATGGCTGCGACTTGTTTTGAAAATTGAGGCGTAAAAGGTTACCATCGAACATATTATGTTTGGCATCGGTTGCACCATTTTTGGCGACTTTATCGCCTGCGCCGGCAAAATGGAAAAGTACCCATTATTTTTTTTCTGCACAATTATCAACTCTTTAACAGCGTGTTTAAATGTAGGCGTATTCAGTATCTCCCATTGAAGAGAACAATTTATCAAACAAACTGGCTTGTGCTCTCCTGTAAATAATCC